ATGGAAGTTGGTCCGTATCTCAGATCACGACTTAATCTTCTACATTTGTCCTACCGCTGTCCGTCTTTATCGCCTTCTTCTTCTTCTTCTTACCTTTCCTTTATTATTTGTCTCTTTGGTATGTTTTTACTTCTTTTTACTTCGTCTTTCTTTTATTTCGTCTTTTTTTTATTTCGTCATTCTTTTTCCTTCTTTTTCTACTTTCTTTTTATTTTTTATTTTTTATTTTTCCTCATCTTTTTATTCTTGGTGGTGGTGATAGCGATGGTGATGTTGGTGATGATGATGTTGGTGATGATGATGTTGGTGATGATGACAGAGGTGATGATGGTCACGCCGCATGACACAAATTCCGTTGTTTTACTTGGGCGGCGGCAAACAGTCGTAGCTCGAGTAGATTCGCCTCCATCCACCAGGTGGCAGGTCAGGCTGTGAAGGAGACGCGTTATATTTTATGTCAGTGATAGACGAGTGAGTATCTGTTCTGAACTAAGTAATGTTTGCTGTGTCTCCTCCTCAGTTCATTTGGAAGTTTACGTTTGCGTGTGATGGACTGACTTGTGTGGTGGTACTGTTTTCATCATATTATTCCGTGTTGTTGACTTAGCGTCCCGCTGGTTAATTACCATAATGCAGTGACTTGTGTGACAGCGGCCAGGGGCTGTTGTTCAGATGTCGTCAGTACGTCATAGCAGCAGCAGTGGGGCTCCTGTGTACCGTCAGAGGTTCACAGTACTGTACGAGGCCAAATGGACCACGTGGTGTAGTGAGACATCCACGTTGGCTCAAGCTGGACGGACATGGCTACGTCAACTGGTGTGACTGAGCCATTAGTGTTATCCCCCTGTTGAGGTACGTGGTGGTGGTGGTGGTTTAGTGTTAGTGATCTACTTCCATAGATCAGGGTTTAGTTTTAATAACTCGTAGTGTTAATTAGGGCGTTGGTGTTTTAGGGAGGGAGGAGTGTGGGAGGCCTTTACTTAGTGAGGTGTTGAGGTGGCCAGTGCGGTAGTTTAGGCAGTGTGTGTTGCCGCCTCCCACTTACACCTCCACAGTGATGATGACGAGGATGATGGTGATGGTGACGATGATGGTGGTGACGATGGTTATGGAGATGGTGATGATAGTGATGATGACGATGGTAATGATAATGATGGTGACGATGATGGTGATAATGATGACAATGGTGATAATGATGACAATGGTGATGACTAGTGATGGTGACAATGGTGATAATGATGATAATTAAAATGATGGTGAGGATAGTGACGATGATGGTGACGATAATGGTGATAATATTGCTGATACTGATGGTGATAGTAATGGTGTGATGATAATGGTGATAATAATGATGATGACAATAGTGATGACAGTAAGGTGATAATGATAATAATGAAGATAATGGCGATGGTGGTGATGGTGATAATGGCGATGACAGTAATGATGGTGACAATGATGGTGATAATAATGATGATAATATTTTTTTCATTTAAGTTACATATATTATAACGGGGAACTATTCTACAAATTAACTAAAATTATCTTTACATGTTAAGTAATTCAAATGACCTTTAATAACACGTAGTAATATAGTTAATGAGTTTATAATAGAATAATTTTAGTGCTATAGTTTATTATGAAGTGACTTAGACCTATACTTTGATTTTAGTGATATTAAAACGAGTAATGTTTATATTATGGGTAATATTAACAGGTGTTTTAGAATATATAGAATAATTTTTTTTTGATAATTTAAACTTGCATAACTAGTACAAAGTTTATTAATGTTTCGTCAGTAAAGATCGAGTGAAAAGTTATGTAGATTCTATTGATAATTAGTTTACGGTGATAGGTAGTAAATAAATATAAAATGATAGATAGAGAGACGAATAGATTAATAAACGATTAGAAAGATGTCTTATTTCAATAAGTAAACAGACAATAAGATCAAAATAAGCCGACATAGACGAGGAAAATACGAAATATATTGACATTGAATTGGATACGAAACAGTTTATTGAGTTACATATAAGAAAAATACAAAAGTAACTTGACTTGGGTGAGTTATCTGAGAGTTGCAGGCATCAAGAAACACATGTATATTTTACCCTTTGAGTCTTGAAGGGTTAAATCATCGTCTTCAAAGGGTTGAATCAGTTTTTCAAAGGGTTAAATAATAGTCTTCAAAGGGTTACGTAATAGTCGTCAAGGGGTTAAATCATAATCGTCAAAGGGTTAAATCATCGTTAACGGATTAAATCATTATAGTCAAAGGGTTAAATTATCGTTGTCAAAGGGTTAAATCCTAGTCTTCAAAAGGGTTAAATCATGGTCGTCAAAGGGTTAAGGGATGATTTAAAGGAATGGGGAGTTGGCAATTTACTTGTAAAGAGCTGAGTGAAAGAGAGGCAGAAAGTTATACACAAATAATTGATAGGAAAAGAGAGGGAGTCAATTATACACGGATAATTGATAGACAGAGAAAGAATAAAAAATGACTATTGAACAGGAAGACATAGATAATTGATAGAAAGGGAGAGAATGAAGAATAATACAAAAAAAAATAGAGACAAAGAAAGGTGGAAATAATTATCCCGGTATTAAAGCTTTGAAAAAAAAAAGTGAAAGGAAAAGGTTAAAATCGTGGCGAAAGTAAAGACAGAAGTAGATTGTGTAAGTGATATCAGAGTCTATCTTCACGCTGACAGCTTAAAGAAATTAATGTGGGGATCTACAGGTCAATTGACGAAAAACAATTTCTCTTCCGGAAGCGTATTTTCACTCCTTTCTCTCTCTTACTTTTTCTCTCTTTTGTCTCTCTTTCTTGCTTTCTATCTTTCTCTTTATTACAGGTTTTGTTTGCCTCTGTTCTCATTATATGTTTGGTTATTCCTGTTTCAGTCTGTTTCTTATATTATTATCCCTCTTTCTCTTGTTTTTTCTCTTTCTTTGTCTTTACATAGTCTCTCTCTCTCTCTCTCTCTCTCTCTCTCTCTCTCTCTCTCTCTCTCTCTCTCCTGTTTCCATCTCTTCCGTTCTTTTGCCTTTTGGAAGACGAAAAAATATCCCCAAATACAGTTAGATACAGATAGTTAAGTCAAATACAGTTAGTTACAGTTAGATGTAGTTAGATACAGTAAAGAACAGTTAGATTTGCAGCCACCAAACGACTGTAACGTCATGAGGCCAGATACCCTGGTTATGTTAGTGTTAAATTAATTTTGTATTTAACCAAGTCATACGTAAGTTAATGGGAGTGATCATGAACTGGTTTTAAGCAAAGTTATGGCTCATAAATTTTAACACATTGACTTAATATACAGTACACTTGACTTAGCACACTCTGACTTAGCACACACATTAACTTAACACACACACTGACTTAAAAGACATTAACTTAAACTACACATTATAAAAAAAATAAAATAAAACTCCCTCAATCTTAACAAACAAATTCACTTAGGTCAGGAAGGACAGGAATGGATAGCAGAGAATTTAACTTAACCATCGTAGCTAAGAAAAAAAAAATATTAACGATCACTTACCATTTGTACTCTGGCCTCTCTCCTTTGTTTGTGAACTTTGACCCCCCTCCCCCCTCCTTGTGCAACATCCAATCAGTGCTGAATTCTGAGATCTGTCTATTCAGTTAGTGACGTGGTGGGGTGGAAGGTTGGGTGAGGTGGCAGAGTGGAGGCAGGGTGGAAGGTCGGGTGGAGTGGAAGGTAGGGTAGGGAAGGGGTGGCCAGAATGTATCATTGTGTAGGGATGTGTCTAGTTTGGGCTGGAATATAAAGGAATGTTGGGTGAAAATTTGTAATATATTTTGCATTTTTTTTTTTTATGTTTTGATCTTGGTCAAGTTTAGGTGAATCAGTAGATTTTTAATATGATTTTGTATTTAGTTTGTGGAGTTAGTTGAGATTATACAAAATTGAGAGAGAGAGAGAGAGAGAGAGAGAGAGAGAGAGAGAGAGAGAGAGAGTGTTTCTACCCAGGTAATAAAATGAATCATTAGTAAGGTGTCAGGCAGAGCACCTCCTGTTACACACCAAACTGGGCTCCTGACTGTGTGCTCCTACGGTCTCTTGAACACTCACTTGTTTCTTTCCTACTTAATTTGTTTTGATTTTTCTCTTCTTTTTTTTTTACATTTATATTTTTTTTACTTATTTTTTATTTTTTTTGGTCATCAGTTGTTTTGGGTTTTTCGTAATTAACTGTTTTCTTCATCTTTCACTGTTTTTCTTTCGTCTTTAACTGTCCCTCTTTCGTCTTTAACTGTCCCTCTTTCGTCTTTAACTGTCCCTCTTTCGTCTTTAACTGTCCCTCTTTCGTCTTTAACTGTCCCTCTTCTCTTTAATTGTCCCTCTTTCGTCTTTAACTGTCCCTCCTTCGTCTTCTTTCTTCCTCCTTCGTCTTTAACTGTCCTCTTTTTGTCTTTAACTGTCCTCTTTTGTCTTTTGTCCCTCTTTCGTCTTCTTTGTCCTCTTTCGTCTTTAACTGTCCCTCTTTCGTCTTTAACTGTCCCTCTTTCGTCTTTCTTGTCCCTCTTTCGTCTTTAACTGTCCCTCTTTCGTCTTTTTGTCCCTCTTTCGTCCTTTGTCCCTCTTTCGTCTTTAACTGTCCCTCTTTCGTCTTTACTGTCCCTCTTTCGTCTTTTTGTCCCTCTTTCGTCTTTGTCCCTCCTTCGTCTTTTTGTCCTCTCGTCTTTAACTGTCCCTCTTTCGTCTTTAACTGTCCCTCTTTTGTCTTTAACTGTCCCTCTTTCGTCTTCTTTGTCCCTCTTTCGTCTTCTTTGTCCTCCTTCGTCTTTAACTTTGTCCCTCTTTCGTCTTTAACTGTCCCTCTTTGTCTTTAACTGTCCTCTTTCGTCTTTAACTGTCCCTCCTTCGTCTTTAACTGTCCCTCTTTCGTCTTTAACTGTCCCTCTTTCGTCTTCTTGTCCCTCTTTGTCTTTAACTGTCCCTCTTTCGTCTTTAACTGTCCCTCCTTCGTCTTTAACCTCTTTCGTCTTTTTGTCCCTCTTTCGTCTTTAACTGTCCCTCTTTCGTCTTTAACTGTCCCTCTTTTGTCTTTAACTGTCCCTCTTTCGTCTTTAACTGTCCCTCTTTCGTCTTTAACTGTCCCTCTTTCGTCTTTAACTGTCCCTCTTTCGTCTTCTTTGTCCCTCTTTCGTCTTTAACTGTCCCTCTTTCGTCTTTAACTGTCCCTCTTTCGTTTTAACTGTCCTCTTTCGTCTTTAACTGTCCCCTTTCGTCTTTAACTGTCCTCTTTCGTCTTTCTGTCCCTCTTTCGTCTTTAACTGTCCCTCTTTCGTCTTTAACTGTCCCTCTTTCGTCTTTAACTGTCCCTCTTTTGTCTTTTTGTCCTCTTTTGTCTTTAACTGTCCCTCTTTTGTCTTTAACTGTCCCTCTTTTGTCTTTAACTGTCCCTCTTTCGTCTTTAACTGTCCCTCTTTGTCTTCTTTGTCCCTCTTTCGTCTTTAACTGTCCCTCTTTCGTCTTTTTGTCCCTCTTTCGTCTTCTTTGTCCCTCTTTCGTCTTTAACTGTCCCTCTTTCGTCTTTAACTGTCCCTCTTTCGTCTTTAACTGTCCCTCTTTCGTCTTTAACTGTCCCTCTTTCGTCTTTAACTGTCCCTCTTTCGTCTTTAACTGTCCCTCTTTCGTCTTTAACTGTCCCTCTTTCGTCTTTAACTGTCCCTCTTTCGTCTTTAACTGTCCCTCTTTCGTCTTTAACTGTCCCTCTTTCGTCTTTAACTGTCCCTCTTTCGTCTTTAACTGTCCCTCTTTCGTCTTTAACTGTCTTTATTTTGTCTTCCATTACTAACCTTTCACATCTCTTTCCCTCTCTTTTATTTTCTTCACTTTTTCTCTTCATTTATTATTCATTTATTTATTATTACTATTCCTCTATATCTCTCCTTTCCATTCTCTCTTATTCCTTGTTTTATTCCATATTTTCTTTGGTCTAATTTTTCCCTCTCCCTCATTTTCCTTTTGCTACTTATCAGCCTCTCTCTCTCTCTCTCTCTCTCTCTCTCTCTCTCTCTCTCTCTCTCTCTCTCTCTCTCTCTCTCTCTCTCTGCTTTATCTTACCTGTCTTTCCCATTTCCTGTCCTTTCTACGTTCCCTCCCATCTTTTCCGTCATCCTTATCCCTTCCCCTTCTTTTCTCCTTCCCTCCCTTCTTCTCTCCTCTTCCCTCCTTTCCCCTCTTCCATCTCAATCCCATCCTCTCCTCTACACTTCACTCCTTTATCCCTCCCTCCCTTGCCCTTCTCTTTCCTTGCCCCTCTCCAATCATCTCTCCCTTTCATCACCCACTCTCCAGCCCCCCCACCTCTCCTTACCTCTCCCTCCAATAACCTCTCCTTCCATTTTTCTCTCCTTTCCTCACCTCTCCCTCCAATCTCTTCTCCCTCTCCTCACCTCCTCCTCCAATCTTCCCTCCTCTTTCTCACCTCACTTTTGCCCTCCTTCTCCTCCCTGCCCTCTTCCCTCAACGTCCACACAGGATGTTAACACACAATGTACCATGATCAATCTCTTTCCTGCGTGCTCCCTCCTTCCCCTGCCTTCCCTCCACCAACCCCAGCCCTCCTTCCACCTCCTCCGTGTACTTTCCACCAATTTCGACCCTCCCTCCATCTCCTCTGTGTTCCCTCCATCAACCCTGCCTTTCCTTTCTTCCCTCTCCACCAACCCCAGCCCTCCTTCCACTTTCTCTGTGTTCCCTCCACCTTTGTGTTTTCTTCACCTTCCCTCTAACTTCCCTCCCTTCACCTTTCCTACCCTTACCGTCCCTCCATCCTTCCTTTCCCACCCTTCCACTCGAAAATGTAATCGGACCTTGCTGTGCCCAATGCTATACTTAAATCATACAAGTCTAAATCACCGAGAAATAGCACATAGGCCTGACTATTGTGACATTAGTAAACATGACAAATTTTGTGACAAGTGGTACCGGTATGGCCAACACAAGGACAGAACCAGACAATGTGATGTAGTCGTGGCCAGAATTAGGCTAGGATACAGGCACATCAGGCAAGTTAGTAACGCTGTACCCATACCGGAACACTCAGCATGTATACTATGTGGCTTAGTGTACCATGAACTATGTAACTACTACGTTGAATCAGGAGTACTTGGAGTTAATTCTGCTTCGTCTTCGCTTTATAAAATAATGAATATGATCTGTAGTATTGCTTCCTCTTGTGTGTATGAACCTCTGCCCTGTGTGTGTGTGACGAGATCAGTGACAGCTTCCTCAGTGTCCGGCCTGACTCAACCACTGTTCTCAGATTAGACAAAAATGTTTCCCTCCACCCTCCCTTGTTCATCCTTCCACTCTCCCTCCACCTCTCTTCTTTACCCCTTCCTCTCTCTCCATCCCTTCCTCTCTCCCTTCCTCACTCTTCCACTCTCTCCTCATCCCTTCCTCACCCCTCCACTCTCCCCTCCACCCTCCCTTGTTCACCCTTCCACTCTCCCTCCTCTCTTCTTTACCCTCCACTCTCTCTTCCCTTCCTCTCTCCTTTCCTCCTCTTCCACTCTATCCTCATCCCTTCCTCACCCCTCCACTCCCTCCACCCTCCCTTCCTCACTCGTCTCTCCCTCCTCTCCCTTTCCTCCTCCCTCCCTCCCTCACCCTTCCTCTCCCTCCACCTTCCCTTCCTTTACCTTCTACTCTTCCTCCACCCTCCTTCACCCCCTTACCCTACTCCTCCCTTCAACCCCCCCTTACCCTAGGCCTCCATTTACCCCTCACTCATTCTTCCCTAACTTTCCTCTAACCCCCACCTTTCTTCCTTCTTACTCTCTTCTTCCATCTTAGTCTCTTCATTCTCCCCCTCTCCTCCTTCCTCTATCCTCCACTTTTCCTTTTCTCCCTTCCATTACCTATTTCCTTTCTTCTCCTTTTCTTTCCTTACTCTCCCTCTCTTCTTCCGATTCTCTAGCACTGCCTCCCACTTTTCCCTCATACTCCCCCTCTCTGCTCACTCTTTTCCCCTACGTTAACTTTCCCTCTCCTTCTCTCATTCTTCCTTCCACTCTCACTTTCTTCCTTGCTCTCCCTCTTTGTTCCTCTCTTCTCAACTTTCTCCAACTCCTCTTTTCTACTTCCTTCCCCTCTCTCCCTTCTCCTTATTCTCCCTCTTCCTTCCGTTCTTATCCTCTTCCTCTCTTGCTTCTCCTCTTCCAATCATTCTTCCTTCTTCGTTTCATTCTCTCCCTCTCCCTCCTGTTCTCCCCATCTCCTTCCTAATATCCCTCTCTCCCTCTCATCCTCTTCCTTGCCTCCTCCACTCTCCTTGCTCCTCCCACTCTCCCTTGCTCCTCCCCTCTCCCTTGCTCCTCCACTCTCCGCCTCCTCCACTCTCCCTTGCTCCTCACCTCTCCTTGCTCCTCCCCTCTCCCTTGCTCCTCCCACTCTCCCTTCCTCCTCCCACTCTCCACTCCCTCTCCTCTCCTTCCTCCACCCTCTCTCCCTCCCTCTCCTTTTGCTCCTCCCTCTCCCTTCCTCCTCTCTCATCCCCACCTCTCCCTCTCCCTTCCTCCTCCCACTCTCCTTCTTCCTCCCCTCTCCCTTCTTTCTCTTACTCTCCCTTCCTCCACCACTCTCTCTCCCACCTCCCACTCCCTCCCTCCCACCTCTTATTCTCCTTTGCTCCTCCCTCTTTCCCTGCTCCCCACTCTCCTTTGCTCCTCCACTCTCCTTGCTCCTCCCTCTCCCTTGCTCCTCCTCTCCCTTGCTCCTCCCTCTCCTTTCTCCTCCCTCTCCCTTCACTCTCCCTCCCCACTCTCCCTCCCCACTCTCCCTCCCTACTCTCTGAGCTCTCAGCTGCCTGCTCTAACCAAGTGATAATGAGCCTGATCTACGGCCTACTAGGGGTGGGGGGGGAGAGGGGTGAAAAGGAGGGGCAAGTGAGGAGGAGAAGGAAGAATATGGAGGGTGAGGAAGGAAAGGAAGGAGGAGGAGAAGAAAACAATGGAGAAGAGAAGGTAAAGAGGATGAGAAGAAAAGGAGAAAGAAGAAGGAAGGAGAAGAGGAGGTGGTGTGGTGAAGCAGAGAGATAAGAGTGAGAGAAGAAGGAAGAGAGAGGAGGATGGTGATAGAGGAGATGGGGATAATAGAAAGGAGATAGGGAAGATCAGAGGGTCAAGGTAAAGTGAAGGAACTGACCTGAAGATGAGAGGTCAAGAAGTGTCTTGGGGGTGAGAGTGAGATGAAGGAACGAGGAAGGAGGAGATGGTGGGAAGGAAGGATGGAAGATAGAGAAGTGGTGGGAGGGAGGAAAGGAAGGATAAGTGAGAGGGGAAAGAAAGTAGGGAGGGAGTGTGTGGGATGGAGGGAGAAGGAGTGGAAAGAATGATAGAGAAAAGGAAGGAGGAAAAAGAAGGTAACGAGTGGGAAGAGGGAGGAGGAAGGAAGGGAAGGAAGGAGGACAGTGAAACAAGGGAGTGATGAAGGATAGTGAGGAGGGAAGGGAGTGAGGGATGGAGGGAGGAAGGAGAGGGGGGGACGACTCAACAATCATTTGGACCATTTGCTTCAAGTTATGGCACAGCAATAGATTTCAGAAAGACCCATCGCTAGTTAATGGGGCGGGCTCCTATGTTTATGGGAGGAGGAGAGGGAAATGGGAGAGGAGGAAGAGGAGTGAGGAGAAAGGAGAAGGAAGAGTGGAAACAAAATAGAGACAAAGGGAGAGAAAGAGATAAGGGAGGGAAGTGGAAGAAAAGGAAGTCAGAAGGAAGGAATGATGATGGAAGTGAAGTTAAGAGAAATGGGAAGAAGCATAGAACGGAGAATACGGAGAAAGGGAGGAAATAAGGAAGGGAGATGATAAAATAGGATGATGAAAGGGGGAAAAAAGAGAGAAAGGGGTTATGGAAGGATAGACCATGGTAAGGGAGAGGAGGAGAATGAAGAGAGGGAAGATGAAAGGGAAGCATGATAGAAAGCAAGGGAGGGAGAAAAAGAGAGAAGTGGATTGAAAGGAAGGAAGGAAAGAGGAAAGAAAGAAAGGAAGGGAGGTGGACATTAGGCAACAGATGTGATGAAGGAGAAACAAGGGAGAATAAAGAGAAAGATAAAAGAGAAATAAAAGACGAAATGGAACAGAGAGGGGGGAAACTAACAAGAAAGGAATGAAGGGGAGAGAGAAGAAGGTAAGAAGAAATATGAGATAAAAGTAAAAAAAAAAAAAAAATAGCAGAGGAAATGGGTTAGGGAAGGGAAGATTGATGGTGTGGCAACAAGGAAAGAGAAGATAAATGAGGGAGAGAGAATTTTAGGAAGAGAAGGAGGAGGAAGAGGAGAAGGTTGGAGCAGAAGGGAGAGACGTGAATTTTTCCTTTAACTATACATGGTAAAAAAAAAGTCTCTCAAAGCAATATTGACGCCATTTTTAACCTTCCTCTCTGTACCTGGGTCTACCTGGAGAGTAATTAGTCGTATCTTCAGTTAAGGAGAAAATTACACCTTAGGAACCTTTCAGAATTTTTACCCCAGGGTGAAAGATACACCCAACCATGTTTCAGTTGTACGAGGCTGACAGCAGTGTGTTGGGGGCGTCAGGAGTGTCAGTTAGGTTGTGGACGCTAGCAGGTAGTGTCAGTGCTGTCAGGAAAGGGTTGGGGGGGCTGACGTGAGAAGAATAAAGGGGAGAGAGAGGGAGGTGAGTAGCTTTGACAGGGGAAGGGGAGGGTGGCTATCTTGAAGAGGGAAGGGGAGGTGGCAATCTTGGAGGGGGAGGAGGTCGTTATCTTAGAGAGGGGAAGGGAAGGAGGTGGCAAACTTTGAAAGGGAAGAGGGCAGGTGGCTATCTTATAGACAGAGGGGGGGGGAGAGAAAGGGGGATGTTAGAGGGAGGTGGTGAATCTTAATTCCAGGTACGACACAGGTAACACAGGTAAACTGACTTCTTGTGATTGAACGCTGATAAAAACTAAACACATTTGACCCGAGATTAACTTCACTCCAGTTAAACTTTGGCGACATAGAGACATTTAGTTACTGAGAGACAATTAGTTACATAGACAATCAGTTACTTAGAGACAATTAGTTACATAGGACAATCAGTTACTTGAGACAATTAGTTACTGAGAGAGACTTTAGGTTACATAAACAACTCTAGTTACTTAGA